AGTCGCAGTCTTACACGCTTCTCTGCGCTCTCTCCTGGGCAGTCATTCATAGGAATCCCAAACCCAATAAAATACCCAATATTAACGGTGTGTGTGTCTGCCCAAGGACAATTAAAAGTAGACCTATCATGCTATATTTGAATAATATATTGTAGAGCCATACCTATATAAAACATGTCTGTGAAGTTTTTTTTTCAAAATACCAAACAGATCATGCATTTTAGCCATGCCTCATTTCGCTCTATTTGCTCTTTTCCAGCCCTGTTTTTGCAAGGGCTGAGTCTGTGAGAAGTCTTCTTCGCTGCTTTTGTGGCAGACTACAACGCCACTTACAGGCTTGGCATATGTATGTATTGGCATATGCGCTTTCGAGCGGCAATGGCCGTGGCCCAACCCCCCATTCCCCTGATAGGTGGAGAGTTGCCCATATAGGCGGAGCACCCCTTTTCTGACGTCAGAAAAATTCTAATCTGTATCAGCTCCGTTGCAGCCCCGTTTTTAGAGATTTGGGTATGGAGGAAAAGAGAGAGGGTTGTGTTTTCTGACACTTGGTGAGTTCCCTGACACACCGGGGACACATATTCATGTATAAAAGACGTACAAAAGTGCATTTTGCATGATAGGTCCCCTTTAAAGTAAAACCTAATAGAATGTTGAGATCTCCATATTAGGTTGAATACTTAAAACTAAAGTTTGTTATAATCAAATATAATCAAAAAGGTGTTTGTGCCATAGCCGAGAATAATATTTTGCAAATCCTGCACACTAGAGGCCATGCCCAGTATCCACAAATATGGGTATTGTGGAGGAAACTTCTGTGTAGCAATGCATGGAGTCACCGACTCAGGAAGGAGACACGGTGAGAGTTGGAGCTTTGATGTCAAACACTGATGGGTTTATTCAGAGTATTCGGCCGGAGGATTCACATCACAAATCAAAGAGTCAGAGGTTCTGACTACACGGTAGAGTTGCCACGTCAATTCTGAAGAACCTCTCTCTATGCTAGACCTTTTAACTGGTTCACAGAGAGAAATCAACATCTCTGAAGGAGTAGACTAAACACTGAATTTGTGTCCGACACTCATGGCCTCAAGGATTTCACATCCTAGAGCCCACAAACACCGATAAAGAAGTGCCTCAGTGTTCTCACAACAATTACCCTTCGTGCCAGTCAAGTTGACCGGTCACACACTGGTGACAACAACACATATGGCACCAAGGCCTTTCCTTAAAGGAGATAACACGTCACAGAGGAAAAAGGTTAGATATCTAGAAGAATTATTCCTTAACAGTTATGGAGGAGGTGTCTTTAGGTTTTTCTGTCCTGTTTCGAGCATAAAAACACTAGCAGAGTGTTTGCTTTTTACCTTACTAAATGGTCAAATGGTCCTTGGAGCGAGGCGAAACTCACGTTGTTACCGTTTAACTGGTGACGCGGAGGAACTCGTTCTATAACGGTAGGAATGTGTCAGGGGCGTGTACTTTGAGGAGCCATTGTCGAATAACCAGGAAATACACACTTCGATCGCTTCTTCTGTCGTTTACATTAATCTTCTGGTATATTTGGCTGGATAGGAACACTTTGATGCACATTCAGTACCAGTGTGTGAGGTTGTGGTTGCGATGCCGATATCCGGACGCGTACAGCGAGGACTACAAAATGACAATGAGGTGACTGGGGATGTCTGTTCAAAACATTGCACGCTTGAATAAATCATTTAAACCAGTTATTTTTGCCAGACTTATTACTGAATATCGTTCTTAATGTGATACCAAGTCCATCTGAGACCTGTGTACACCTTCAGACAGCCTCCAAGTGAAGCACACGTTGTTTATTCACAGTTTGAAAGCAGCGTGGAGAAGTCTTCAGCTGTGGAGCTGTGATCCGCCCAGTTTAACTTGTGATACGACTTCTGTTCTGTGGCTATCAACCAGCAATCATGTTTAATATTAAAGACTACACACATGTATCCCTTATCAAAAGGGTATTCTGCACTTTGCAGCACTTATCCAGATAAGATGTGACTGTTTACTCGTTTTGCAAAGATAGCAGCAGAAATGTTATTGCTGCATGTGTAGGGATATTTAGACTTTAAAACGCTGCTTGGTCATTCATTTTGGTCTCCGCAAACAATATTATGAATCCTCTATTCAAACATATAATTCAGTGTCCATCGACATGAAAATAACTAAAAAGTTCATGCTGGACTCAAACCCGAGTCCCAACAGCAAAAATCACTCTTGTCCTGCGCATTGTGAGTGAGCCACGGATCATTACAACATATCCATTCATCACAGATGAATGTCACACGTTAACATTGTTAAAAGATTCAGAAAAATGCAAGCCAACCATCATTTATAATGCGAGCAAATGTATGTACACTTAAGCCATATAATATACATATTATAGTAGGCATTTGCTTTTAAATAGTATACTGACTGAGGTCTGTATCAAGCCTCATTAAGACGCACCGAGATCAGATATCCTAGTTTATCAGCCTGCGAGCCCACATTATGTTGTGATAAGTGGTCATTTTACATATAAATGTATTCCAGTGCACACATTAAGTTATATAATATAAATATAAAATATGCTAATCAGGCCATGTGTTTTGTTATGTAGTATAATCATCACCGACAGATGGAAAGACAACAATAACAAGGAATTCATATTAATATTACCAAGTTACACAGAAATAGATACAACATATAAGACAAAATAACACAAAGATAAAAGCATAAACGTTAAGATAGAAACGAAAACATGTTCACAGCAGAGTAAAAATTATGAATATATGTGTTTGTAGTTCTCAACGTATGTGAGTATCCTCGTCCTTCGGTTTGTGTCGCTGTATCGATGCATAACGAAAGTTAACCAAGTAAACAGTCACATCTTATCTGGATAAGTGCTGCAAAGTGCAGAATACCGTTTTGATAAGGGATACATGTGTGTAGTCTTTAATATTAAACATGATCGCTGGTTGATAGCCACAGAACAGAAGTCGTATCACAAGTTAAACTGGGCGGATCACAGCTCAGCTGAAGACTTCTCCACGCTGCTTTCAAACTGTGAGTAAACAACGTGTGCTTCACTTGGAGGCTGTCTGAAGGTGTACACGGGTCTCAGATGGACTTGGTATCACATTAAGAACGATATTCAGCAATAAGTCTGGCAAAAATAACTGGTTTAAATGATTTATTCAAGCGTGCAATGTTTTGAACACACATCCCCAGTCACCTCATGTGTCTTTTTGTAGTCCTCGCTGTACGCGTCCGGATATCGGCATCGCAACCACAACCTCACACACTGGTACTGAATGTGCATCAAAGTGTTCCTATCCAGCCAAATATACCAAAAGATTAATGTAAACGACAGAAGAAGCGATCGAAATGTGTATTTCCTGGTTATTCGACAATGGCTCTTCAAAGTACACGCCCCTGACACATTCCTACCGTTATAGAACGTCACGAGTTCCCCCGCGTCACCAGTTAAATGGTAACAACGGAAGTGATTTGAAAACAAAAGCACTTATTTGCTTGGAACGGTGATAATATTATAAACAAGGGGAATTAAGCGATCACAACGAAAACGGCCAAGACACATATTGAGCCCAGAAAACTAATGTTATTAAGGGCTGTAAATATAATAAGCCTATGTCTAAAATGGACAACATTGTTAGGAGATTTAAACTATACCGCGATTCTGCACTGCGGTCAACTCAGCCGTCTCTCGAGCTTGTCACTTGTTAATCCACTCGGTAATTCCTCCACTTCATCTCTCTGCTTCTCCTCTCTGCTGCGCTCTGAGCACGCTAGCGACGAATGACAACAAGTGTCACGGCGGCGTGCGTTGAAGCTTGCCGGCGGGCGTGTCTGAAGCTCGACCAACAACCAATCACATGAATCTCCCGTCCCGGACACACAAGCACGCGGTTTGATTGGCTAGAGCTTGTACTGGCATATGATTTGATTGGCTGACGCTTCCGTCGAAGCTTCAAAAGTTGAACATTGCTCAACTTTTGAAGCGAGCGAGCAACGCGAGCAAAGCGGAGCGAGCAACGCGAGCAACGCGAGCAACGCGAGCAAAGCGAAGCGACGCTCCCACAATGCAGTTCGGCAAAGTGTGACGTCACCCCATTCAAAGTGAATGGGCAGAAGCGTTGAAGCTGTTAAAGGGGAAGCGTCACATTTCTTGTCGGCATATATTTAATTGTTCCAAGTAAATTATTGTCAACACCATTTTTAAATTACTCTTAACCAAATGAATCTGTGCATTTTAACTTTTTTAACATATTTATGCATTTTAATGAATTATTTATATGTATTGATGTTATATTTTAATGTGGGTTACTCATTTCATTTCAAACCTTTATTTAACCAGATTGGTCCCATTTAGCGCGTTCACACCGGAGTACTTTTCCCACAATAGTTCATCAGAACTACGATATATTTGCGTTCACACCAAAAAGCCCCAGGAACTAAATTAGTTCATCAGAACCATTTTTACCCAGTTTTCAGTCCCTGCTAGAGAGCAGGGACTTTCGTGGGAGAAAAAAGTTCACACGTCTGATTGGCTGTGCGGAATGCAAACCACGCCCCGTTTAACTCTGATTTTTTTTTGGAGCGGCCATTGTATTTGCTGGCATTATTAGCCCAGCGCACCAACGAGAGTACTTTTGTGAAAGCAGTTATTATGGCAACAATAAGAATACGAAAATCATCGGAGTGGTGGAGTGATGAGGATGTGTCGGCACGTCTGGCGATTTACTCGGAGGATGGGATCCAGCAGCTTCTACTGAAGGCAGTTTCCAACTGCAAAATGTATCAGCGTTGTTCGGTAAAGTTAGCCGACATGGGAATCTTCCACAGCGCACACTCATGCCGGGACAAAATAAAGAAACTAAAGCAGGACTACAAACAAATAAAAGACCATAATAACAAGAGTGGTAACAGCCGGAAGACACGTAAATGGTATGATCGATTGGATGCTCTGCACGGCCACAGACCCTCATTCTCCGGCACTTGTGGTGAAACGGCGGATTCAGTGGCCTGTGAATTGTCCAACGACGACTACTACGAAGGTAAAATAAAATACATGCACTGCACTGTTTTAATCTGCACAATACTGGTCTCAGATGTACTTTTATTTGCTCAGTAGATCGAGCTAGCCATGCTAGCCAGAACTGGCTAACACTGCTAGCCAGTTCAGCCAAGCATGGCTAATAACATCATTCTCGGCCGCTATGAAAACGTTTTTGACTTGTGAATAAGTGTGTAATGTTTTCTGTAATTTGCTTCACTAACTCATGGCACTAATCGTGTGTTTCAGGCGAGGCAGGACAACTCTCTGGATTGGAAACAAGTGAGCTTTCCCCTCCGGATCACAACAGCAGCACTTTCTCGTCTCCTTTTCAACCATCCAAACGCAAAAGTACCTACAAACACACTGTAACTACTCTGGTCTTGAAAGAACGTTCTACTTTACACCTGCATTTTGTACACTGTCCCTGTCTGCACCATGTCCAATGTTGTCTCTGTTGACAACCTACTAGGCGATTAAACTGATCTTGTATCTTGCTTATTTCTCCTTAGGAAAGCGGGCACGGGATGACAGCTTCCTTGACACCATCATGGTGATGGAGGACCGCCGTGCCATGGTCAGCAAGGAGAATGAGGACCTGCGTGCCAAGGAGATGCACGACGAACGGCTGCTGCATTCACACAAGGCCCAGGAATCGGACGACCAGCTGCTCATGGTGATGCCGCACCATGCTGACTCAGCGGCGTGCCAGGTGGAGGTGTCGGCGCGCCAGGTGGAGCAACAAGATACCTTTCAGGCTGGGCTTCTGGCAGTGCTAAGCGAGCTGATTAAATCCAACAGGCCTTCAATACAAAAATTAAGAAAAACTTGTCGTCGTTGATACACTGTACAATTACTTGTTGGTAGGCGTGTGGTGCAGTGGTCTGGTGCGTTGGTGTTCGGATCAGGGGAGCACAGGTTCAAACCCCACTGCAGTCAGCATGTCGTTGTGTCCCTGGGCAAGACACTTCACCCCAAATTGCCTACACCTGGGACAGTTAATTTGGTATTATTGTGATTATATATATGCCACTGTTCTTAATACTGACACTTCACTTTGCACTAAGGTGTGTCTGCTGCTGAGCCTACCTATTGTTATTATATTGTTATTATATATATATATGTTTTGATACTAAAAACACTTTATTTGATATTGAAAATGTTAACTTCTATTTACATGCATACGACACACCTGGCGTGATGCTGTTATTGATATTGTCTTGAGTGCAATAAAAGAGAACCTACATGGCGATTAAACAGAGCCTGTATCTTACATTTTTCATTACATTTCATGTAACTAAGCTTGCTTATTTCTCCTCTGACACTTTATCTTTACAGTGACCTGTGTAGCATCCTATACATCACATGTAAGTGATTATTCTGATACCATCATGTTATATCTCTCACAGGCTCCGCCCTCTACTGGACTCTATGGGTACTACCTTATCCCGCGTGCATTCTCCCACTGAGACTTCTATAGACGTAGCCGGCCCAGGGCGGGCCTACCTGAATGCGCGCGCATCACACCGTATAAAAGGAGGCCTCGCCTCCTGACTATCATCCTTTTTTTCTTCAGCAGCGGAAGTGATTCCACGAGCTTCGAGACGATTGAGAAAAAGAGAGTAAAGTGTAGGACCTACCCGAAATGCCCAAATTTGATTACCCTTCTGCTTCACGTCCTTGGGGCCTGACCACGCGGTGGGTAATATGGGCCCGACGCTGACATGCCTAGACTGCCAGATGATCCCGCGGCTCACACGAGAGCATCGTGGGCAGCACTTCCTGGTGAGGGCTACCCCGCAGGAGGAGTCGGTGGATCTGGAGCTCGACGTCGTGGACGTAGGCGATTCGGGGAGCGAGGTGACATCTCCCGGTTCTTCCGATGGGGGACGAGGAGGACGCCTCGCTGACCGGAGGTCCAACTCTCAGGTTTGCGCGGATCGATTTCCCGGCGGTGATGACTCTGGCGGCGGAGCGTGTAGGCTTACCACTCCCCCCACCGCTGCCACCGAGGCCTGTAAACCTCCTGAGATTTACGGCCCGGTGCGTCCGGCGCAGCCGACCTTTGTTTCGCCCCAGCTGCCAGAGGTATGGCGGTGTGTGGAGGCGACATGGCAGCAGCCATTTAAAACGAAGGCCCCGATAGCCGCCATGGCGGGTATCGTTAAGGTGGTGGATCGCTCGGACACGACATGTCCAGGTGTGCCCCCCCCCCTCGATGAGAGCCTGGCGGCCCATCTGCTTCCGCGGCTGGTTGGGCGGAGGGTAAACGTCCTCTGCCCCGCTGCCCCGGGACCGAGACACCTGGAATATCTGGATAAGTTGTTCAAGCTCGGTACGCAGATGGCGGCTGCGGCCGATAATCTTGACGTGTTGGCGTCTTCCTGATCACCCCTCAGGCAGACGCCCCCGCCCTCCCGTCTCAGGACGAGAGCGATTATTCGGACCACGCTGTTAGTCAGATGAGTAATCTGATTTATGGCGTGGCCACCGCAGCAGGGCGGATGATTTCCCTGGCCCCAGTGGCGTCTCGTCACGTGTGGCCAGGGCTCACGGCCCTATCTAAGAAGGACCGAGAAGATCGCCTCGGAGCCCCCGTGTCCACGGAGGGGCTCTTTGGGTCGGTCTCCTCGGTCACCCAGCGCTTCAGCCGCCTAGAGGAGGAGAGAGTCCAGCTTAGCTGCATGCTATCGCTGGCTCCTCCTCAGGCCCCGCTACGTGCCCCCCTCGCGTTGCCATGCAGGGGAGGGAGCGTAGTGCGAGAGTGAAGCGGAGGGAGAGGCGCCGGCACGGGGGTCCCGTAGCTGCAGCGCCCTCCACCTCTACGGCCCACCCCGTGGCACCGGCATACCGGCAATCACGGGGAAGGGCTGCCCGACCGAGGCAGGCTCCGCAACAGCAGAGCACCCGGGTGGGGAGCTCCATCTTCGCGGAGCTAACTGCCTATTTAATGCCCAGATCTCTGTCAAAACTTTTAAAATAAAGATGGTGTTGATCTGTAAACAAGTCTGAGTGTCCTTTGTTTCCACAATACACTTGCACATGTTGATGACTGTACAAATTCCCCACTCGCCGCCCCAGCTATAGCTCCCGTTAGGGAGGAGGCTAGTGGGAGTGCGCAGATGAGAGTGATGAAGTAAAAAGATATGATTCTACACTGTATTGAAGTAAACATGTATTGTTTGAACTGTTTTAGGTAATCACAAACGGGTTTTGATAAGTCACTTAGAATAGGAATGTTATTCTTACTTTCAAACTCACAGATCCAGAGATTCTGTGTTGCAACACACCAACATCCTTCTTATCATCCATAAAAGCCAGATGCGGTCATTAAGTCGTTAAAAGACATCGTTAAATAGGTGGAGAAGATTTAAATGTCTGAAGGAGGATAGTTTAGGTGAAAATATCCCCTGGGAAAGGAATGTAGAGTAAGATAAGGTAAAGATAAACATTGACTTTTGACCTGGTGTGGTTTGGGATCTCACTCTCTGGTCAGACCTCTGATTGAACCCGGCCAGAAGCGAATCCAGCCAGTCAGGGCACTTGGGGGAGGTGGTCAGTTTAAACAGCTCCTCCCCAGGGGCTCTCTAATTCGCTTGAGAGAAAAATGGGAAGGAAGACTCGACAAATCTCCGCCCCAAAAATAGATAGAAATACTGATGTTGGTGTGTGTAAAAATGCTTTTGGGTTTGGTGAGTTTGTTGGTCCTGATATCTGTGTCCGCATCGCATCACAAACTTGAAGTCCAATTTCTTCTCGTTTGATGAGTTTGTCTGGTCCTGACGCTTTTATCCGCATCGCATCACAAACCTGAAGTCCGGAGTACTCGAGTACTCTGTATAACTTGTATATGTGTTTGGTTTCCTACTAGAAGTAAACTCAGATAATTTGTTATAACTTTGATTCCGGTGTTTTCAATTCCTTTCTTAATTTAATAGAGATCCAGCCTCATCCAACGAACGGCGCGTAGCAGAAGTGTTCTACGCCAACAAGTGGTGACTCCCGACGTTTGTGAGCTGATCTCTAGAAAGGGACACCGACAGCCAGGGGACAGAATCCAGTCCAGGGGGAGGACACAGAGATACTGGTGACAACTAAGACCATGGCAATATACAAAAGGTGAGCAGACACCTGTTTTGACTATCAAAAATCTGTGATTGATTATACTAAAAATTTAGAGTTGTCAGCAGCGTTCTCAGTGTTCTTAGTCACGGTGGGAAATACAATACATATTACAAGTTGGGGATATTGGGGAAGTGCTTAGAGAAGGGTATTCAGTCCTGGACCTAGAGCAAAAATAGTGTTTGAGTGTGGCGGGTAGATAAGTCCCAGCCCTTCACTCACTAAATACGAAGACTGTAAGGCTGTAAAAGAAGTATAGGTTAAATTCCCCGTAAGTCAAAATAACATTGATTAATACGGTTGCTTTACAGTGCTTTAATTAAAGACTACGGAGGTGTAAAAAACAGAAGGGTTAAATTCCCTGCAGATCATGATAAGATTGATTAATGCGGTTACCTTTCGTGGTGCTTTAAATGTATAAAATGTCTGTAATTGTTATATGGTGGGTGATAGAGGAGGAGAGAGACGCGACCTCCAACTAATTATTTGGAACGACCGTATCTCATCACAAAACTGTTGTGGGGATAATCAGGCTCATTAAACGTGACGATAAAGAGATTTTGTTGACTGAGTTTTTAACTCTTGACCTGAAGCCGCAATCACCGTGAGGAGATTGTAGAAGTTTGCTTCTGGAAGTCACGCTATCTGTTGAAATAAACATCGCACAATAAAATTTGCCTGACTGTAATATGATAAGGTATGAAAAGCTCTGTGTGATTTTTTTTTAAGTCAAATCTGTGTAATACTTGAGAGACAAATCCAGTAAAAAGAACTGTGGGTGAAGAATTGCAGAAGACAAGAGACAGAGAGCAACAAGCGGGTGGTATAATGTCTGAGACCCTACCTCCACCCTACGGAGATAATGGCTCACAAATGCCACTTATGAGTATCCCATCTAATACTCCTAAAGGAAAACACATTGTTAGACCTGATATTCAGGGAAAAGGAATGTTGGAAATAGTAATGGCAGATATTGAAAATCTTAAACTGGATCAACCAACCATGTTAGTGAACCCTGCTAATATGGAGCTAATACATGTAGAAAGAATAGCAGCAGCTCTGGCAAAGACAATAGGTCCTAGCATGCAAGCACAGAGCGATAATATGATAAGGACTATTAAACTGACCCTTTTTGGAAATGGGATTTTCCGTTACACAACGGAAGACTCAATTCAGGCCTTAAAGAACGCTTTACAAACAAGTCAGGGAGAGTTTAATGTGTTGCTATGTTGCTCATGTGGGAGCTTACACTTTTGGGAAGAGATCTCCCACTTTCTCTGCTCCTGAGGTGCTGCAGACTCGAAGCAGCATACAGGGTCAAAGACAGGCATGACCTCTGGGGAGGAAGAAAATCTAAATCTGAACAGACCACAGAGCCCATTAAAAGGTTTTATGGCCTAAACACAGAGAGGAAGATCTGGAGATTGTAA